TTGAAGGATGGCTCAACAGCAGTAGGTTGAGGGTTGAAGGGTGGCTCAGCAGCAGTAGGTTGGGGGTTGAAGGGTGGCTCAGCAGGATTAGTGAAGGATGGCGCAGCAGCAATCCCTGACAGATCATTTTTAATCATTATAGTATAGATTAAATTCATCATCCAGCTGCTGCTCTGCAGAATTCTCTCCCCAAGAGCTGAATTACGCCATCTAGCAGAAAATCACGCAGCTTTTTTAAATCACGCGAGAATGTGTACAAAACAACAAAGATGGCGCCGGCAACGCTTGTGGGTTGTTTTCAGCGCATGTCAATGATTTTAAAGAAATTTTGAGTGATAAATAATTTTTTTTGCGATCATTGCACTTGACTGGCGGGCAAATGCAATGACATTTTTATTTTCCCGACATTAAAAACTACTTGCCCCGGACGATCTGGAAATGGTTAATATCGAGCCCTGACCTTCAATTATTTACTCTTAGTGGATTGGTGTCCAACATGTTCTTGGGATGGGGGGGTTAAAATATAAATCTGAGTATTGTGTCTCTGGTATTTGAAGCAATGTATTGTATCACTGATGATGAAGAAAAGAAAAAGAAGAAAAAGAAATATGTTTTGGACGAGAGTCTAGTTGCAAAAGAAAGTTGCTCAACTTTGCATACACAAATTGTTGGAAGTTTCACCGTAGTTCTCTTGTAGCATATGCACAGTGCCCTGGATAGAGCACTGGACAAGCACGCTGATTTTCTATTGCGTAGGCGGCGAGGAGACGCAGTGGAAGCCATATCTGATGGGGAGATGCGAATCATGGGATATTCTACGCAAGGCTCCACAGGGACCAGTCCCCCTGAAGAACTTATCTTGGCCCCTGGACTGAAAAATACACTACAAAAATGTAAATGTAATCTTTTTTTTATTTTTTATTAACAGTATATTCCCTTGATTTGAGCAAGTAATTTAGAAAATGTATCAATGGAATAATATTTTTGTTTATTTTAAAATATGAAAAGGAAACCCCATTAACTTATTTCAAGTGGATAAATATATTCCTTTGACAGATCATCATACCAGCTCGAATTAAGAACAAACTTATTTATTTATTTTTTACTTCTTTTGTAATACTAAACAGATGCATAATGATATTTTCTAACAGAAAAATTGTAACTGATTCGTCTTTTCAATTTATTTTAACAATTATTTCGAAAAAGCAGTTAGTTTTTATTTCATCAACATAGGAACACATTTTTATCAGTAGTCTGCAACCTTTCAGGCTCACTTATTATACTAAATGAAGGACTCTTGCTCTGTTTGTTTACTGTTTGTTTTACCCTTTGTTCCGTGCCACCATAAAGAAACGCTGGCCCTATCCTGTCCCACTTTAAATTTTGTTTGCTCCAGCACAGCTGAATCAAATGGCTCGTTTACCTCACATTATGCAGCGCATTTCTACTGAATCCACCTTACCATCTGATTAGGCAACTTGGTGCAGGTGTGCTGAAATAGGTATACAGATAAAGTTTGAAGGATAAAGCATTTAACAGCCCTGTCCTATGAAGAGATGGTAAATTCCTTCAGGGTTTTGTTTATTGGGCAAATACCTTTACAATATTTAAACAATGAGTATATGTTTAACCTCTGGAAGAAAATAACCTCCCACGAGGAAGTTAATGTCATACTTTGAGCAGCTTCGTCGTAGGTACAATTTCCGTCTGTCAAACGAATGAAGGATCCCCGGGGGAAAAAATTAATGTGCGTAATTCTTGCATAATTCTCATTAGCGAATTAAATGTGAAGGCACATAGAGGGAAAAAAGCTTTGTCTTACCGCAGCTGCTTTTTTCAAGTTGACGTTCGTTCAAACTTCCTCATAGGCAGCTTGTTAAATCTGACAAACCAGTGACGGTCTGCGTCCTGATGCGCCCCTTTCCAAAGCGCCTCTCCTCAGAGCCACTCCTCACAGCAGAATTATCTATGCAAATATTGCTCGACGCTAGTGGGCGATGAGGGTAAAGAAATCACTTTTGAAATTTATATTATGTAGGACAAGAGGAAAGGTTTTTTTTTTCAGTTAGTACATTTTTTATATTTATTTGCAAATGTTAAACGTAACATTAAATGCATGTATATCGATATTTATACTCTAAATCAATTTTTACATTCTACATACACTTAACTATACATCTAAAATTCAGATTTAATTTTGAAACTTAATTTTATCTGAGCATAAATCTTATATCTCGTGTTGTTAAGTTAATTTGTACTCTGTTGTGATGCAAATTAGAAATATATATATATATATATCTGTTTGTCTGTATATCCAAGATCTGGTATGATTTCCTTAGGTAACTCTTTTAAGCTCCATCCCACGTCCAATCCCTAAATCTTAATCTATGTCGCCCTGGTCCTCTGTCATGGGGGCTGCAGCTGGTGACCTACTTCTGTGTTGATTGATTAATTGACTTTACTGTTCTCACAGTAGAGAAGTTTACTCGTTACATCAGTCAAAGTAGAAGAAGAATGTGCCAAAGGAAGAAAAAGGTGCATGGAATTTATACAGTATATACAGTGTGTCCACACATGACAGCTTTTTTTTATTTTTTATAATAGGATTATTATACAGGATGATTGCACAGGGTGTTTACATGAGTACATGTGTTGGGTGCAGTGGCATTTCTAGATCACATTTCTCAGGGGGAACAGGGTAGAGGAAGTGTTTGGTGTTTAATGGGGGAACCAAACTAAGGAATGAAACTAAAGGAAAGGCATTTGTTCATTGTTGTAATATTAAATGAACCAAAAATCCATTTGCAGCAATAGAAACCTAAGATATGATAGATACAAAAAAAATAAAAATAAAACTGTGATAGCAGCAGTGAAGGCTGTTCCGCACCAGGGGGAGGAGGCACTCAACCTTGACATAGCAAAAGTAAGGAAAACCCTGAGGAGAGTCAACCCAAGAAAGTCCCCAGGCCCTGATAACATACCTGGGCAGGTGTACAAAGAGTCTGCAGATCAACTGGCTGGTGTCCTCACATAAATTTTCAACACCTTGCTGAACCAATCCATAGTACCAGCATGCTTTAAGTCTGCCACCATCATTCTGGTCCCAAAGAAGCCTCAGGTCAACTCACTCAATGACTACAGGCCTGTCGCACTGACTCACATTATGATGAAGTGCTTCGAAAGGCTGGTTAAAGAACACATCGTCTCCAGTCTCCCCCCAACATTCGACCTGTTCCAGTTTGCCTTCCAATGAAACTGCTCCATTGAAAACATAATATCCTCTGCTCTTCATCTGAGCCTGGCACACCTGGAGGAAAAGAACACCCACATGGACTTCAGTTCAGCTTAACACCATCATCCCACAGCATCTGATAAGAAAACTGGAAAAACTGGGCTTCAATACACCCCTCTGCAATTGGCTGCTAGACTTCCTCACGAACAGACCTCAGTCAGTCCGGATCGGGCAGAGTACCTCTGATGTCTCCACCCTAAGCAGAGGCTACCCTCAGAGCTGCGTCCAGAGCCCCCTGCTGTTCACCCTGATGTTCACCCTGATGACACAGGACTGCATCCCCAGGTTCACCACCAATCACATTGTGAAGTTTGCAGATGACACCATGGTGGTGGGCCTCACCAGAGATGACAATGACCAGGACTGCAGAGAGGAGGTGGAGTAGCTGGTGGACTGGTGCAAACATAACAGCCTGATCCTGAATTTGGAGAAAACGAAGGAGAACCACGCTCCGCTGCTCATTAACAGCTCAGCTGTAGAAGTGGTCAGCAGCACCAAATTCCTGGGGGTGCGCATCACAGACACCCTCCCCTGAACTGTAAACACATCCTCACTGATCAAAAGGACACAAAAGCACATGGTTTTCCTGTGGAGGATAAGGAGAGCCCAACTGCCCCCAACTATCCTCACCACCTTCTACAGAAGCACCAGAGCATTCAGACCAGCTGTCTCACCGTGTGGTATGGAGGCTGCAAAGCTGCAGACTGGAAGAAGGTGAGGAAGAGTAGTGAGAACTGCAGAGAAGATCATCGGGGCTCATCTTTCCTCCATAAAAGACATTTCATTCCATAACATTATAAATGACCCACTCACACCCCTAACATGGATTGCCCTCCCTGTTGCCCTCTGGGAAGAGACTTCGCAGCATTCAATGACAGTCATGAAGATTCTTACACAGCTTCTTCCCCACTGCCATCAGACTGCTGAATGTTGAATAAAACTAGGGGGGGGGGGGGGGGGATCGCTGATTGTTGGAAAACTGTAAAGATTATCTCAATCCTATGTTTACATTTGACCATCATGTTTACATTTAATCACTGCTGCACTTTAAGAAATGGAAATGCCTTGAGAGCTGTACTGAATGAAATTTCGTTTTGTACGCACCCTGTGTGTACAAAATGACAATAACATTTGTCTAAGTGATACTATCTTTAAAAGACTTTAACTTAAGTGCAACAACTTAATTTTTCCACAATCGTTAAAACTGTAAAAGAAATAGACCATGTGGCCTATTATTTACGGTTTCTGTGCCAGTACATATTTTTTTCTGCTAAATGATGGTAGATTTAGGTGTGTTAGAGAAGAAAAGCAAGAAAAGACCTACCATCCTTTAACTAGCAAGAAAAGCAAGTTAAAGGATGGTAGGTCTTACTGCACTTGAGCAACTTGTTATACAGCTACCTTGGCTCTTGTCTAAAACTGCCTAAGGAGGGGCATACTGTATAACTACCCTGGGGTAGCACTTGGTCTTTTGCTGCCAGGGACTTTTGCTGTCTTCTATGGTGGGGTCTGGCTGCCCTTGCCCTTGATGTAGGTACCATGGGTGGTGGACTTTCACTCATTAATGCACATCTGCAGCTTACAAACTGGCATTCACATGTACACGTTTACATAGTCACATACACATGCACACATTAATGGACCAACACACTCCAAACAGTTAAAAATCATAGAGAACAGACAAGAAACATTAATGTTGTTAAAAATGTTATAATAAAATAACTTGGTTTAATGTCTGAAGATATCTTTTTTTGAAGAAAAAAAAAGAAGAAAAAACTCCTGCGGCACATTTAGGCAGCCAGCTGCTCAATGGACATAATAAAGAATAGACCCAGCATTGGCTGCTGCAGTGCATGAAATACAGGTCCTTTCAAAATATTATCATATTGTGATAAAGTTTGTTATTTTCCATAATGTTATGATAAATCTTGAACATTCATATATTTTAGATTCATTGCACACTAACTGAAATATTTCAGGTCTTTTATTGTCTTAAAACAGATGATTTTGGCATACGGCTCATGAAAACCCAAAATTCCTATCTCACAAAATTAGCATATTTCATCCGACCAATAAAAGAAAAGTGTTCTTAATACAAAAAAAGTCAGCCTTCAAATAATTATGTACAGTTATGCACTCAATACTTGTTGGGAATCCTTTTGCAGAAATGACTGCTTCAATGCGGTGCAACATGGAGGCAATCAGCCTGTGGCACTGCTGAGGTGTTATGGAGGCCCAGGATGCTTCGATAGTGGCCTTTAGCTCATCCACAGTGTTGGGTATTGTGTCTCTCAACTTTCTCTTCACAATATAGCACAGATTCTCTATGGGTTTCAGGTCAGGAGAGTTGGCGGGCCAATTGAGCACAGTGATACCATGGTCATTAAACTATTTACCAGTGGTTTTGGCAGGTGCCAGGTTGTGTTGAAAAATGAAATCTTCATCTCCCTAAAGCTTTTCAGCAGATGGAAGCATGAAGTGCTCCAAAATCTCCCGATAGCTAGCTGCATTGACCCTACCCTTGATAAAACACAGTGGACAAACACCAGCAGCTGACATGGCACCCCAGACCATCACTGACTGTGGGTACTTGACTCTGGACTTCTGGCATTTTGGCATTTCCTTCCCCTCAGTCGTCCTCCAGACTCTGGCACTTTGATTTCCAAATGACATGCAAAATTTGCTTTCATCCAAAAAAAGTACTTTGGACCACTGAGCAACAGTCCAGTGCTGCTTCTCTGTAGCCCAGGTCAGGTGCCTCTGCCACTGTTTCTGGTTCAAAAGTGGCTGACCTGGGCATTGCGGCAACTGTAGCCCATTTCCTGCATACACCTTTGCACGGTGGCTCTGGATGTTTTCTGCGTTTTCAGCATTTTCTGCCACACTTTTTCCTTCCCACAGACTTCCCTTTGAGGTGCCTTGATACAGCACTCTAGGAACAGCCTATTCGTTCAGAAATGTCTTTCCGTGTCATACCGTCTTGCTTGAGGGTGTCAATGATGACCTTCTGGACAGCAGTCAGGTCGCCAGTCTTACCCATGATTTTGAGTGATGAATCAGGCTGCGAGTTTTAAAGGCCTCAGGAATCTTTTGCAGGTGTTTAGAGTTAATTTGATGATTCAGATGATTAGGTGCATAGCTTGTTTAGAGACCTTTTTCATGATATGCTAATTTCTTGAGATAGGAATTTGGGGTTTTTATGAGCTGTATGCCAGTCATTCGTATTAAGACAATAAAAGACCAGAAATATTTCAGTCAGTGTGCAATGAATCCAAAATATATGAATGCTCAAGTTTTATCATTACATTATGGAAAATAATGAACTTTATCACAATATGCTAATATTTTGAGAAGGACCTGTATGTCCACCATCTTGGTCGTGTTTTCCTACCTGCTTGGCTAAACCAAAACAGCAAAAGAGGCCTCAGCAATGTAAGGGATGTTTTTGATCAATTCATACAACTAATCAATAACTTTGAAATAATAAATTTACAGAAAAAGAATATATATATAGGCAATGTTTTCTCACCATCTTAATGTCTGAAAGACAGCTTTGATTGTGATTACCGGATGAAGCTTCATGATGCAATGAGGCCTTCCTGCCATTGCCTCTCCCAAAATGCCATTATTTGATGATTCATCCATTGCTGTGTAGGCACGTCTGCTGCTGTGCTGAAACTATGGCAGCCAAATGACACATAATTTTTATAAAGCAATGTAAAAGTGTATGTAGTATTTTCACAACTGTTCAGACAATAAGGTATGTTAGGCTTATTCAAGTGAGCCATCTGTTTTAGTTCTTCAACTGAGTTACACCTAAAGCCATGCGGTAAATCCACTGACTTGTTATGGTGGTTGTGCTTTCTTTTATGCCATGGACTAATTTGTTAAAAAAATAACAAATTAAATCAAAAATTTAAGCGGATGCAGTAATGTGTTTGTTTTAAGCACAGATGTCAAACTCAAGGCATGCAAGGTACTTTTTATTTTATGTGGTTTGTACAAATCATATTATTTTCCCAAAACAGCATTACCTCTGTAATGGATAGAGTATAAATACACAGATATCATACACCATGTTATGTAAATATTATGTTCTTCTTAGTTAGGGTGGTACAACTAAATGTACCCTAACACTGATGTTTGATCTAGGCACTTGGTATATAGGAGTTAGTTATATATGTTTATTATTGGGAACTGATGTGTAGATGCAATTTATTGATTATTGAGTTATTTTAAAGTTGAGTGATATTATCTATCAACTGATTAATTGAAAAGTGGACATAGTGCAACATGAGTGGCATATATTTTAACAGTTTTCATTTAAAAAATTAAAAACATAATTATATTGTAACAATTAATAATGACTGAATCAACCACACAGTTATTACATTTAGACGTTTGTAAAGTAAAAAGGATTATGGCGACATCCAGTGGGAAATAAGGGTAAACTGTTCATTTAGATTTTTTTTTTAATTACAAAAAAGAACATACTTGAACAATATAGAACATTAATACTTACAAACTTATATAACAACAAAGGGCTTTACATAACAGAACCATTATTTTAAAATTTCGAAATCAAATCTATGCCCTAGGGTTATAATTCTTTAAGGGCAGTTATAATTTTCCTGGCTTTATCATTTGCACTTAATTTTAAGGATTCTATATAGATATTAATAGAAGATAAATAAAATCTTGAAATTAAGTTTTTGTTGTAAATATTTTGAGGTGTGAATATGATATTTATCATAAATAATAAAAAATAATTTTAACATATACAAATTCTGTTTTGACAAGTTCACATTTCTCCATCCCAAACAAAAAAAACCCTTATCTGTTAAAGTAATGTTAAGATTTTCATTTAGAAAAGTGTTTTTTTTTAAAGGTTAAAGTCTGCTTCCTCATACGTCACTACCCGCTGACCAATGGGAGGCAGCATATCCTGAGCTGAGCCGTATGTTGACTTGAATGGTGTTAAGCTGAAAAATGCACGGGTTTTCTCTATGCAATCATTGTCTTCAACCGCGCATAAAGAGCTACTGGTTCGCTGAATGTTAGCAGCTTCTCCAGAAGATTGCAGGAAACGTTCAAAATCTTTAGGGGATGTCAAGCTGTCCGCGTCCAGAACTGACTGATCCGGCTGCTAAGGTAATAAACAGGCGCCGGATTAAAATGAGTATTTCACAGTTTGACCAAATAAAAACACACATTCGTAAATGGTTAACTATCGAAACAGAAAATAGAATTAGATCGTGTCTCTCTTGTGTATCTATTTTTTTGTGCTTTTCTCGGCATTGACACAATAACAAAAACTAAGCCCTTTCTAGCTATATTGTGATCAATACACACTATTAAAAACATATTTAGGCCTATTAATATTTTTCATTCACATCTTGGAGCTTATTGTTTTAGTATCTGGAGAAAAACCTTGAACTTCCTGTTTCTGAAATCAATCCTAAGCCTTTTTTGTCTCTCCTGCTTCAAAGATCAGTGAGAAATGAGACATTAAGGTTTGCAGCTCTTCAAAAAAACAAAACAAAAAACTGTATCCTGGCACCTTTTTTATTTTTTTATTTTTATGAATCAACCTTAACTTCTTTTGCAGTTTGATCCAAAGTAGCTTGTCTGCAGGACAGCTGGAAGGCTGTCCTGATTGTTGACTTTGCTCTGTTGTGAGTTTGTCACTTCTTCTTTCTTAGATTTTTTGAATAGCTACTGACCATTGCAGATTTTTCTTCAAACTTAGCTTGGTGGTCTGCAATCCACACATTTGACCTCCTTTTCCTGCTTTTTTTACTCTCACTTTGATCACAAAATGTATACTTGCTCTCCAGTATATCCCACCCACTATCAGGTGTCCTGAAGAGATTATCTGTGATATCCGGTTCAACTGTGTGCAAACAAACACATTCATTCTGTTTGTTTCTCTAGCCTTAAAAAAACTGCTATCCATCTATCAAATCTTTCAGATGTTAAAAGATTAAACTCAGAGTGTGACAATGTGAAAATGCAAGTCTGGTTTTGCAAGTTATTGTTCATAACTCTGTCTTACATCTGAAACCTGTTAGTTTACATGCTGCTGTGGTAGAAAGAAGAAAGTGTGGAGTGTTTCCTAGTTAAAATTTCCCTTGACAAGAGAGGAATGCATCTTTTCTGACACTGTTGAAAGAGTCCCTATGAGCAACTTTACACAAGTCTGACCAACAGGATTAGGCAAAGTCAAAGGTGAAACGCAGTTTAATTGTCACATGAATTTTTCTGAAACAGAGCCAAAAAGTGGAATACGACACATTGGCATAAGAAAGGGGGGGGGATCCAAATTTCAGCTGCATTAAATGTCTTGTTCTTGAGTCTTGGCTGTAATGTTTGTTTATCCAGGTTGTTATGAGAAGAAAAAGTTGAGCCACAAAGTAAACCCTTACTTGTACGGATGAAATGATTGTTGGATGATTATTGATTATTCAGTTTTCAGGGTCTGGAGGAAACCTTGTCACTAACACAAAAGTTTCTAAAGATACCATAATTAATCATTGTGATATCCTTGGAAACACCCTCAGATCCCACAAATGATTTGGTTTGTGATACTCTCTGGATGAATGAAGAGTATTTTTTTAATCAGGGGTAATGTAACCTTTTTAGATTATAAAATACAAATAAAATAAGCTTCTTTCCAGATTACGTGTTCACAGTTTTCTGTTTAAAGTAAAAATCAAATGTGCATATCAGAGACGAGGAAACAAATAGACATCTTTCACTTTTAATTGATGCATTTTGTTTAGAGGACTGTTTTTTTTTTCTTTTTTTTCTTTTTTCACGGGCCTCTAAAGGTTAGATGTCCAACATTGTAATTTAAGTTACAATGGTGACGGACTCGGGCAAAAGGTGAACTTGCTTTGCAATACTGAAAATCCTAAATTGACCTTGAAAAGCACTAATCCTGTTTCAGATTTCCCCCCAGCTGTACTCCGAGGCATTCAGGTAATAGTATTAGAAGGCAGAATGCTGTAATGCCAAACTAAAGATTGCACTAAAGAAACATCTGATTTGATTGTCTGTTTCACTCACTCCTGTAGAAGATGCTTATTCTTTTACATAAGAGTTTAATAATAACGATGATACTCGTGTATATGATGCTTATCAAGGTAATTGAAGTCTTTTTCTTTTCATTTAGACATGCTTCAAGTTTGACCTTGCAGCACAGGAGAGGTTTTCACCATGAAGGTTCCCAGCACCAGATGGGCGTTCTTACTGGGTTTCCTGGTGGGGATGTGCTGCATGTACTTCTCCTTGCAGCAGGTGTGGTTTGAACAAAATTACCATGTACATTCAGAAGCTCAGGAAACGGCCACAGTAGCAGGAGAGAGACCGACCAGCTGGAGGAAGGAAGGAGGTGCACTCATCAACCTGCTGCTTCCTCACCATCCAGGTGCTGTGCATATGTATGCAATCAATTAACAGCAAAAATCCTTCAGTTACAATGTGTAAGCAAATCTTACCTGTGAGATTTGAAGTATCAAACCGCTAAGTCAGTTCAGATCTGTAATATTTATTGAAGAGTCCCAGGATAATCCTCAACCTCTTTAGTTTTCATTTAGCAATGTATCCTGTTAACCTGTTGCACAAAAATAACCAAAAACAGTATTGAAACATCTGTAAAATCATGGTATAAATCGGCTGTTGTTCTTTAACCCCAGGGAGGGTCTAACTTGCCCTTTAAAATGCTGTAATGGTGGACAGTAACCATACTCGTGGAAGTATGAGGCTGCAAATTTCGCCACATACGTCCCATGAACGGGACATGACAGCAGGATCCTATCATTTTAAAACGACCTGCAGGGGAAACTAAACAGATATGGTTTTCTTAAGGTAATTTAGAATAACCAATTGGTTTTATAGTGTTTTGGAATAAATTCAGTTTAATAAATAACTCTTTCGAAGTTAAGCCATGTCCAGATTAGATTTTAAACAAGTATTGTTTTAAATTAAAGGGGAAAAAAAGGGAAAAAAAATTAAAGCACACTTATCCTTTTATAATTTTGTTTATTTTTAAACGGGTTAGAGCTACCCTATGATGTGCTGGTTCTAATTATAATTTATATTGCCAACAACCTAACCTGTCCTTTTAAATCTTGCCAGGGTTAAATAGCAACAACTAGATATTTCTAGAGTAGATGCTAATTAGTATGCCTTTACGTAGCACTGTGTAGCTAGGGGTGCTAGACCTATAACTTCTGCCCTGTCACAAAATTAAACCATCTACCTCAGTGTTTTAGATGTTTAGTAGACCACTATGGACTAGTAGAGTTAAGAAGTCATGGGGTTACTTAAAAAGCCAAGGCCACATTCATCCCATTAGATTAAATCCTAAATTAGAGAGTGAAAAATATGTTTGATCAGGAAAGGATTATAGCTCTCTTTTTTTTTTTTTTTTTTTTTTTTAAGTTTATCTTTAAGGGGAGCTCAGACTGCAGTGAAGAGGGGTTCAGGTTACATATGATAAATATTGACTCTCTTCAAGTGTCGGGTGTTGACCTGAAAAATCATTTAATATACAGTAACTTAAATTAAGCTTATACATTTGTCAAAACTGACATAGGCTACGTTCACACTGCAGCCTGAAGTGACATAAATCCAATTTTTTGGACCATATGCGACCTGGATCTGATCTTTCCATGGCAGTCTGAACAACACAGATCTGATTGTTTCCAATGCGACCCAGGCCGCTTGGCTATGTGGTCCTGAATCAGATACGAATCTGATCTTCTCAAATGTGACCTGTGTCTGAACGGCCAGGTCGCATTCATCTGACCTGAACGCCATTAATGCTCGACAAAGGTCACTATTTTGGGTCTTTTCATAAAGAAGCAACAAGAAAAACAACAAAAATGGCAGACAATGATGCGGAGAGCAGTATTTATGTTTAACCGTCTTGAAAAGATTGTGTTTTTATGGTTGGGAAAGACCGCTGGATGCGCTCCGGCACTGCCATCCATTTTTACTTTCATAAACACAGAGCATGCTGGCCTGTGACGTCATTGCTTCCTCTACTGCGCATGCGGGACACTTGCATTATATGACTGCACAGGAGATACCATACAAGTCGCATATATTTGGAAATGTGAACAGCAACGCAAAAAAAATCGGCTTTCACAAAACATTTGGAATTGAGCATCAAGGCCTGCAGTGTGAACGTAGCCATAGCGTTGCTTTCAAAGGCACACCATGGTGTGCTGTTGTGCCTTATCTTCAAAAAGAAAGACAAATTTTCACAGCCATAGACGTTCATGTTATTTTGGGGGATTTTGTGTGACATACAGAAAGTAGTGCATATAACTGAAGCAGAATTAAAAGGATACATGGTGTTCCTACTAGCTTTGGACATCCACAGAATGATGTTTGATTTCTTTTTTAAAAATAGCGTAAGATCATAATGCATTTTAGATTTGATGTCTTTTGGTATTTGTTTGTGCAGGTTTTTTTTTTTATATACAAGTGCAAACCACAAATGCAGATTTTTATAATTAATTGTTTAAAACCATATAATCACTAAACAATGCAAGCAAATGTCTCCTGTTGCTAACCGCTCATCCAGGTGGAACAAATCCAACAAAAGCAGCAAAGTCAACTGTAAAGTCACAAACTGTAATTAAAGAACCAAACATGCTTTGAATTAAAGGAAAAATTGTAACATTGTAAACTTCTCCTCTGTTTCTAGATGAAGACAGCCAGGTAGCAGATATGCTGTCCCAGAGGGTTCGTATTCTCTGTTGGGTGATGACGGGGCCATATAACCTCCAGAGCAGGGCCCGTCATGTCCGAGCCACTTGGAGTCGACACTGTGATGTTGTGTTGTTTATGAGCTCCGTGGAAGACCCCTCCTTTCCCACTGTGGGGCTGGGCACTAAAGAGGGCCGCGATCAACTCTACTGGAAAACCATTCAGGCCTTTCACTACGTCTACGAGCACCACATGAACCAAGCTGACTGGTTCCTTAAAGCTGACGATGACACCTTTGTGGTGGTTGATAACCTACGTTGGCTTCTGTCCAACCACACCCCTGAAGAGCCCATCTATTTTGGTAAACGCTTTAAGCCGTACACCAAACAGGGTTACATGAGTGGAGGTGCAGGTTATGTGCTCAGTAAGGAGGCCCTCAGACGGTTTGTCAAAGGTTTCCGAACCAAGGCTTGCACACACACGACTCCTGTCGAAGACCTGGCGCTGGGGCAGTGTTTGGAGAAGATGGGTGTTCTGGCTGGGGACTCCAGAGACACGTTGCACAGAGAAACTTTTCACCCGTTTGTGCCAGAGCACCTTCTCACCACAAAGTTCCCTAAGAGCTTCTGGTACTGGAGTTATTGTTTTTACCCAATTGTTGAGGCAAGTTCTTTTACATGTTATATCTGATTCTAAGGTTTAGTGCTGGGAAATGGAGCTGTGGCAGTAAATCTTTAAATGTTCTGATGAGGCAGACATCCTCTGATGGGATTAACCTTATTAGAAAGAGGCAATTTGGGTTAAGAAGCTATCCGGATGAGAGACTGCATGGAGAGAGAGAGACTGTGTTGTTTAATTCTTCTACATTTCATCCCTTTGGTTTGCTCTAAAAGAGCAGCTTTTTAAACTAAGATCCAGCAATATAATTGAGATGCCACAGAACATATTGAAAAAACAAATCCTTTTTTATGTTTATATAACTGCATCTCTCTGTATTCTGCACATAAATTTAATTGCTATGTCAGAATATCTACAAAATGTTAAACTTTTTTTTTCGCTGCAATTTAAATTTTTGATGTTTTTTTTTCTTTTTTTTAAAGGGGCCACAGTGCTGCTCAGACCTCACCGTGTCATTCCATTATGTGGAGGCAGAGCTGATGTACATTCTGGAGTATTACACCTACCATCTGAGAGCTTATGGCTACGTACCGCGTTATCTGCCTTCTGCTCGCCGCAGACAGAGGCTGGCCCCGCCGTTGAAAGCAGCCAAAATTTTGAACTTAAAACTGGCTAAAGGGGTGAAGGACAAAGCCAATCACACAGCATCTGCTCTCGTCAGGGAAAACCAAGCGGCAGAAGAGAAGCGTGCAGAGAGGGGCACAGAAGATAATGCCAGTTTTAATTTACCTATAAATAGGACTGCAAGCAGACAAGGCAGCCATCATTGATTCCCTGCAGTTCTTCAGGCTGCTAAGTGAGCTTTAACTGCAGCGACTTCCATATCATGACAGGGTGATCAAAGAAGGAAACGTTTGCCTCTCAGAGGGTTGCTGCCTGTGTATCATACTGGCTGAAGTCCTCAAGCGATGCCTCTTGGATATGAGAATATGTCAGTGTTTCACAGACAGTGCTCCCAGTGGGAGTTGAGACAAATTAATTATGGCTCAGTGGCAGCTGTGTGTAGCCTGTTTTTATTTATTTTTTTCTTCTTCACCTAGCGTACCTGATTGTTTTTGTTTTGTTTTAATGTGTCTTGATTTTAGACCCTGCCACTATTATTTTCTAGTGATGCAGAAACATTTTTACTTAAAACATCGATTTTTCCTATTAAATGCAACACACATCCCATTATGAAGCTGGTTTCAGTCTTTCGTTTGACATTTGTGTTACATTTGATTTTAAATTATAATTCCACTTTTTTTTAAAGCTTTTTTTGCATAAATTATTTTTGATTACTTGGAGACCTTTATCTTTCTATTCAGGATACTAATTTGTTTTCATCTGCTGCTCATGATTTAATGTGTTTTTAAAAGCACAGTTGTTGTTACAGCCACAACTGTGCTGAAATTTGTTTTTTAACTCTGATGCAAAGCTCATTTAAATGCAACCTGTTTCAGAGTGGTAATAAACATATAATTTATTATACCAATTTAATAAGTGGTATAAACACACATTTCTAATGATGTACAACTTGTTGAGTCGTTTTGTAATCCCAAAAGCTTGCAAGAATACATCAACATTGAATAAAAGTAAGACAATGTATACAAAAAGTTACTTTTATTTTCAACTTTGAACAGAGGACAGAGAAAATAAAGAAACTGAAATTATGATTTCTAATTATTCTTTCTTGCAGATAAAATAGTTACAATCTGCTTGGTTTATGGTGGCTTTCATGAACCAGCTGCTCGACTTCTTTTCCTTCAGACTTGTTGGCTGTTCATACTCCTTTGTGAATTTCTGTTGATGAAGCCATACGGAAAAAGGTCTGGCTGAATGTTTACAGCCCCTGAAGTAACCTAAAAAATAAGTTATATATATATATAATATAATTCTGTTTAACAAAAGATATTTTAAAGATATTATAGTATGAGGAAAAAATCTTTCTAGCTCCATCTATTTCTGAGGACTCACCTCAGCCTGGATTTGTTGAGAAGGATTCCTCTGCGCTCTGGATATTCTCTCCTCCAGGGACTATCTAAGGGAGCAGAGAAAAAGTCTCATTACAGGAACAGAAATTATAAGTCCCATATTGTTTCTTTCTGAACTGAAGGGAGGAACATGAACAGCTGATACAGCAAGCAGTGCTCTAGTTATTTCCCCCATTCATCTATAACACTCACCAGAGTCAGAGCTTCTTCTTCCCATAAGACCAACAAATAAGTCATCCATTTCCCCTAATAATAAAAAAATCAAATTAATGTTTCCTATAACCAATTTAACAGATACAGTTGTAAAAATTGTAATTATATCTCACTTTTTTGTTGGGATTCCACGTCCTCTTCTTCTGGAAGAGTAATATTTTGTCGGAAACAGGAAAATCAAACGATTATCCCCAAAAGGAAAAAAAAGGCAATTAGACATTTTATCATTAGGTGATATAGTTGAACATAAAGCACATATAAAATGAGACCAACCCGCGTTTCTTTTGCCCATCAATCCAACAAAGCTGTCATAATCCAAATCTGTGTATCTTCTCAGAATGTTCCGCTTTATATCTTCCAGTCTTGTAGTCTGTGGAAGATGGAAGAATATAAAAGTCAGTTGCCCTAAAATAAAAAACTACTTGATCTAAGCGATACAGCAAAAACCTACGTCTGAGGAGGATCTGCGCGCTCCGGTTTCCTCGCACCTGGAATGGCTGGAGCGAAGTTTCATAATGAGGAACAAAGTCACCAGGAGCAGGCTTCGTCTCATTTTCTCAGCAGATCCTGTCCGTAAACATTTACAGTTCCAGTCATTCATTATTTATTAATACAGAGAAATGACATAGGTTTTTGGAGGAAATAAATGCATGCATCCGCTGCGCGCAAACTGCGCGCAAAGATGCGCCGTTTAAGGTTTAACCATCATAGATGCGATTCAGTTAAAGTTGTATTTTTTCCGTGCATATTAAAACATTCGGCATAAACAACAATTTGAGTTTTAAACCTAAATCATCAATGAAAGGTTAAAGTGAGCATAAAACTTTCAGATATTCATTGATATATTTATTTTTACCTGTTTAATCCCTTGCAGATAACTGGAATTGCGCGTCAGCTGCTTGCGCCTTGTTGATGGATGCTGCGCTAAGATCCGGTCTAGATAAATGAGACCTCCAAGCTTTGCGGTGTTAAATATTAGGCAGAAACCTGCGTAAAGCCAATCAGCAGCTGGAGCGTAGGATGGGCAGCAGGTCTTATGTCATGCCGCTGAGTGCACCCCCACCCTTCCACACCCCCGGACGTCAAATAATGATAAAAAAAAAAAAAAAAAGCCAAGGTAACGTAACGGGAGCACAGGTTTGGGAACCTCCTTATGCTGGGGAAGGAAAGACTATACATGGATAAAATAGATGCTTTTTATTTATCTACATGATTTTGACTCATTTCAACTAAGGACTAATGTTCTCATTTCTAATATCAGGCAAAATTGTCTGTTTTGATTATTCTTTAATCTCTTCTTTGCCCTCAGAGCTAATTAGGGATGAATTAGGTTTTAAAACAAGACTTCCACTTGTCAGGTCTGACATTTATTTTCTACTCCTCTTGTTCCGTGCATCAAAAATATGACCTGTAATCGGTTTAGTGTAATAATTATTTACCCTATTGCACATGCCATGACAACAGAGTATTTAAACTGAAAAAAACCCTGCGTTGGGTTACAAAAAAAGGTATATGTGCACCAGTTGTTTTCCAGAGAGGCAGTGGCCCTCTGCCCAGAAAGCCATGACCTACGGGTGCCATTAGGGAAAAAAGAGAAAGTTCATTTTTTTCAGTACTGAAATATTATTTCATGAGCAGACTGACACCTCAGTAGTTCAGTGCTGATGCATCTATAAGCCTGTAGCACATTTTCCCTGAATCTACTTCAGGTGTGAATGTCCTGCGCTGCTCTGTGGATGTGACGTCAAGCACCTTCATGTTAAATCGGCCCCACCTAACAAACAAGCTAAGCTTTATATACAGTACTAGATGGATTTTGTGGAAACTTAGAAGACCGGCATCCAGCTCCACTGAGACACCAATGGGAGCTCCACTTAAGGTGAAAGAAGTACATATATAAAAAATAAGTTGTCATGTACAAGCTTGAGCTATGTGAACAAGCAGAAGAGTGATGCAATTCTGTGTTTTGGCCACAGTTGCCAATATCATTAGGTAAGTCTGTTATGCCTCTTTAACCATTAAGGATTTCTGTTGGTTAATTGTGTGTCCATTCTATACAGATTGGGTTGCAGAGTAAGAGGGTTGGCCGGATGCACAACTGATGTCCATTGAATATATCAGTAAGTAGGAAATAGAAATCTAAGTCAGGCAATACGTTGTGTTTTTTCTTTTGGAAGATCATTCCTCCCCTTAAGACATGTCACACTTGAAGATGAGCCATAAGATGAGCCAGGCATTATCAAAGCCAGTCAATGCCCACCTGCACTGGGTGATCACCTGGTTCTGCTAACATGGGTTATAAAAGTGGATCCTTTACAAGAAGCCCAATTAGAGCCCATGCCCTAACATTTTGGCTTGGCCTAAATAGGGCCAATGTTGGATTTGTAACTGAGTAAGACATATGATGTACAAATGAGAGAATAATAAAACTACCCTTGAAATAAACCAGATTGGTATATCTTTAATTCTATGTTGTATTGACTTTTAGGGTTTCTGGATATGGAATCCTATCATCTATTATTAACTTTATGAGAGATTTTCATTTTAGGGTCTTTCCACAGATTTTTTTTTAATATGGTGTTTGTGCTGGAAACAATGGTTACAGTACATTTCCATAAAAAAAAAAAAGGTAGAAGAGGATTAGCCTACTATAAGACTTTCTAAAACATGTAAAGACCACGGGGATCTACTTTTCTTTTGAACCAGAGACAGAACAAACATTTTGAGTTTCCTGAGAAAAATGCCTTTGATTTTTCAGGATTGATTAAAATATCTTTCCACCTATCTTTGAAAACATCAATAAAAACATAACAGTTACAAAAATCTTTCATTTTCTACTTCCGCTGTGACAGAACAGAATCAAACAGACTCTTATCTTCCACATAATGATTTGCTGTCCCAAGAAATTAAACTAAATATGTTTTCATTTCAGCTTTGCTACAGTCTAAACTCCTACCTGCTAAATGCAGCATGCAGTCTGATTTATTCAAGCCTGTTCTCACAGAAAATGCAGGAAGTGGTATTCAAATTTAAACAGATGATGCCACCTGTAATGCATGAGCAACTCTATGACATATTCCTCATAAATAGATGAAGGCTGTTTGAATGCACAATTTATTAAGACTTTTAGCTTTGCAAATATACATTTATAGTTTTAAAGGAATAGTACACCCAAAACATGATTAGCCTTCATTTTCTACTCACCCCCATGCTGAACAACACTCTGGAGTACTTTTTTGATATCTCAAATGCATCTGGAGATCTGGGAGGCTTCTTGCTGTCTGCTTATATTCAAATAATGGAGGTCTATGGTGTCCGAGACAGAAAGGTCCATAAAAGTCCACAAAAAACGTGTCAATATTCCTCCATACTGCTCGTCCAATGTATTCCAAGTGTCCTGAGTGGGTAGCATCCAGAATTTACTCGAAACGAAGTCATTTAGAATGTTTTTAGAGCATAAACAGTAGTGTATATGATTTCCTGAAAGCGCGCGCCAGTGAGCTCACGACGCTACGGAAACCGTGGCAGACCAAACCAGATGAAAGTGCGCATTCAGCTCGGCAAAGAACTCGTGCTCTTCCTCAACATTTTTCTTTCATTGTTTCTTTCTTTGCACAGGTAAACAGCACATTTCTTCTTCTATGCTTACATTATCGGCAGAGCAGACGCTGAATGCGCACTTTCATCTGGTTTGGTCTGCCGGCTTCTGTAGCGTCATGAACGCGCACGCGTTCATGACGCTACAGAAATGAAGAAAATGAAGGCTAATCATGTTTTGGGTGTACTATTCCTTTAATCTCTGTCGGGACCTTTCACTGCAGTGTGAAATTTGATCAACAGGCAACCTATTCGGGATGTGATACATTGGTCTGCATTAATGAAGCATGAAATTTAGGTTTTGAATGCAGAACATGGAGACTCTGAATTTTTTTTTAGATAACGTTAAGAAATAGCCTCTGATAACTTTAAGAAATAGCCTCTTGGTGTATTGTATTGTATTGTATTGTATTGTATTGTATTGTAATGTAATGTAATGTAATGTATTGTGAAACCCCTAATAAGTAAGAATGGAGTCTGGTCACCCTCCTGAAAGAGAGGCAGACTGTTTTGGGTTTTAAGTTTAACCTCCCATCCCAAGGGTTTCTCCTTTTTCGGTCTATAGGCTTGGATGCATCAGGCTTATTACTTGTAATTCTACTAACTGATGCTCAGAACTGAAGAACCCCTTTGGACAAGAGGTGACTTTAAGAAACAAAGGTTGCCTTCTAATTTAGTGAATGACTGAGAATCTGCACTGAGTTACTGGTGGATTATGTATTGTATAGGCCATTTGCTATTTTTGATATTACGCCACTTACATGTGGTCATGGAACATTTATTATCAAAGTGAGTTTATGTTTCTGCTGCATCAAGAACAGTTTAGTGTGGAATATATGATAAAAAAAAAATCCTTTGAACAGAAACATTACAGTGAAGCCACTTTCCAAAAATACTCAGCTTTACCTGCTTATACAAATCTAAAAACGGCTGTCTTGGGCCAAAAGAGAGTTGCCTTGGAGGTCTTCCAGCTATCATGGACCCCCAAACCAAAACTAATATTAATTTCCATGTTTAATCATCTATGCAAAACATAACAATTATATGACTTAAAAACAGGAAAGCTATCAGCCTGACACTATAATATATTGACCGATTTGATGTATTGCTTGAATAAGACTAATTCTATGTTGAATACTGACAGTGATAGATAGTTGTCAAAAACGAAAGCTGTCAAAGGTCTAAATGCAGAAACGTGGAGCATAAGACTACTTATAAAACATTCTTATGTTCATTAACAAAATGTTTGATTGCCCTGTTTAATAATTACCATTTGAGTAAAGGGGATAAATAAGGTTTTACAATTAACACTGATTTCCAGAGTTCAACATTTTCTTAACCAGACTTGTGTTACAAAAAGGCCTCTTCGTGTGGGGTTATAAGCTGTTCTGTGGACGGCCTCTAAAATAATCCATTCATGTTGATCTGTGTCACTATTGCTGCAAAATATTTGGACAATTTTAAATGATCATTCCTTAAAGGGATTTTGACGGAGGGATCTGCTTAATGTCCAGTTATAATGATTTTATGTCATAGCCGTTTATGTCCCAGTAAAACCCCTTCAACTGGTGTGAAAGGAAAAGTGCGTCATGTAACTTGTAAAACCATCCATTGTGTGTCTCTCTGCACATCAACATGGAACTGATTGGCTCCATCGTTGCAGTAAAGGCATCATTTTCGTTTTAATTGGCATTGCTTGGACAGTTAGTACTCATTTAAATATCAAAAAGGCATTTCATGTTTTCAAAAAAGAAACAAATAAAAACAGACATAATATACACTTAAAAACCCCCCCAAAAAATGTAGAGATCAAACCACACCAATCATCTTTTTTGCAATGATGCTTGCAATTACAGCTATGATTGTGTGTATTTGTGTATCTGTGCGCACTCATTGGGAATGCAAATGAGCATAAATATTTGAATAAAGCAAAGTTTGTCAACAGGCTGCTGGAATTATGCTGCAGATAATAGATGCTGCTACATTTGTAGATTTAGCATGAGATGATTCATTTTATTTTTTTCTTTTACCACCTTTTGTATCAATCACTTCCTTTTACTATATTTATCTTTATTCTGCATGTAATGTTGCAAAGGGTGGGGATTGAGGGTTGAAGCCGTGCAGGGGTGTGGAAGGGGAGATCTAACGGAAATAGGGAAGTCATTAATGGCATATTTACATTATTGATGAATGTTTCTTTTTCTTATCTCCCCTGCTAATCAAAGCAACCCTAGTCTTGGAACACAGCGCAAAGGGAAAGAGTGCCAACGGCTGTTTATCCATAACATACTGAGGCAGAAGAAGCCTTTCATTTAACCAAAAGACAATTGACTATATTTCCTACAGGGCTAGAGGTGCTGCAATACATCACAGATATTGTCACCTGGCCTCTGGACGTCTGAACATTA